ACCAAGGCCAGGTTGGATGGGTCTTGGAACAACCTGGGATAGTGGAAAGTGTCCCTGCCCATGGCAGGGAGTTGGAATGAGATGATTTTTAAGGTCCCTTCCAATCCAAACCATTCTGTGAAGGGAGGAGCAGTAGTGGCTGAGTTTTTAAGGGAAGCAACCAACCTAAGTGCAAAGGACTGACTGGAAGCCCTGAGCAGCCCATTTGTTGCAAAGCATTTGCCCACCCTTCACAGAACCACAGAATCACAGAATTTTTAGAGTTGGAAGGCACCTTTGGAGATCATCCAGTCCAACCCCTCAGCCAAGCAGGGTCACCTGGAGCAGGTGACACAGGAACACATCCAGGTGTGTTTGGAATGTCTCCAAAGAGGAAACTCCACACCCTCTCTGGGCAGCTGTTCATTGCTCTGCCACCCTCAACATAAAGAAGTTCCTCCTTAAGTAGATGTGGAATTTCTCATGTTTCAGTTTACGGCCATTGCTGCTCATCCTGTGGCTGGGCACCACTGAAGAGTCAGTCACCATCCTCTGACACCCCTTGGAGATGTTTATATGGATTGTTGAGAACCCCTCTCAGTATTCTCCAGACTGAACAGGCCCAGCTCCCTCAGTCTGTGGGTCTGTTCAAAGCAGGTATTTCTGCAAATGCCTCTGGCACCGTTGAAACCACAGCCTTGTGCAGGGCAGGAAGCTGGGCCAACAGCCTCCTCCAAGGGATCTCCCTGGATGGAAACCTCAGGAAGTTGCCAAGTGGAGCCAAAAGAGCAATTTACAGTTGATGTCCTAAGAGATTTTTGCACAATCCACACTAGGGGAATGTTTCACAAACTGGAATGGCACAAGATTTTTGCTCAGGGACTGAGGACTTTGCAGGGAGAGTTCAGCCCCTGTAATTTTAGATTCATCTGCCTATAGCCACCATCATGCAGAATCCAGGCTCATCATGCTTTAACTCACCACCACAAAGAGCTGTCCTTGCCTTTATGGATGGGCAATGGCTTCAAGAGCCAGTTTAGGGTGAAACAGGCTGAAGCCCCCTAGGATCCATGCTGCACATCTCCTCCTCCCTGCTTCTTATCCCAATCCCATCTCCCCAGCACTCTACACATTCAAACTCACAGAATCAGAGAATCATAAAATGGAAGGGACCTTAAAATAATATATTACCAACCCACCCACCATGATCAGGGACACTTTCCACTATCCCAGATTTCTCCAAGCCCTGTCCAGCCTGGCCTTGGACACTTCCAGGGATTAAGCTGATGCCTGTGCTAAAGAGCAACAGCACAGAGATGCAGTTAATTACCCCCTTAATGAAGCCCTGTAAGGAACCTGACTGCTGGACATAGCTGCTCCCACTCCCTTCTCTCCTGGGGTTTTGATGCCAAGACAGCTCAGCAGATATTAAAAAAAGAATTTGGGCATGGCCTTTTCCCTTTTTCTGGCTGCAACTGTAGGATCAGGATTTCCTTCAGTGGTGAAGGAACTAAGAAGCTGCCCTGAGTGCTCTGAGTACCAGGGCAGAATAGTAGTGATCCCTCTGGGTACAGATCTGCAAATAGTTTGTACAATGTCCCTCACTGGGGAGTGACAGAACAATGAAATATGATGAGTTGTTTGGATCAAAGGCATATTCATGTATTGCCCAGAGGATCTGTGACTGCCCCATATCAGAAATTAGGTATTTCCAATGAAGGAAGGAATGATGAGGAGAACTCTATTTTATTAGAAGGTTAATTAATTATTATTATATTATATTATATTATATTATATTATATTATATTATATTATATTATATTATATTATATTATATTATATTATATTATAATTTATTTCATATTATTTATTTGATTTGATTTTATACTATATTACATTATATTTAAATTGAATTTGTTAAGTATTTAACTGCACTCAACTGCACAGTATCTCATGACTGTCAGCTGACAGTCCCGACACCCACATACTTGGATTTAATTGGTTAGTGAATTAAAACACTCACACTAGAATTTAATTACAAATTTTTTTTAGATAAACAATTTTCTAAAATGTATTTCCCTTGTGAACAACTCAGGTGCAGCAAATGAGATAAGGATTTTCTTTTTCTCTGAGGATCAGACAATATGAATCTCAGAATATTTTTGGGACGTTGTGCTTTGCTTTTCTCTGTGAAGAGAAATGTGGTGACAGCCCCATCCCTGGAAGTGTTCAAAGACAGGTTGGAAGGGGCTTGGAGCACCTATTGGAAGGTGTGCCTGCCCATGGCAGGTGGCTGGAGTCTCCTGGTCCCTTCCAAACCAAATCATTGCGTGATTCCATGATTCATGTGAGCGCTCATGAGTGTGTTTTTAACATCCATCCCCACACACATAACATGTCAGGACCCAGGACATCCCTCTGGCTGTCCTGAGCAGCCAAGACCCCTGCCAGGAGGCTCAGAGACCCTGGCACAGAGCCCAAGACACCTGTGGCTTTGATTATGACCCATGGAGCAAGTTACCAACCTTAAATGAAGATCTGCAAGCCACGACAAATTAAGTAGAATGACCGTGAATTTATCACAAGGTGAAAAAGTAGATTTTAGGGTTTTTGATATGGGGGTTCAGGGGGGCATATGATGGAGGAATCTGGGTGTGTTCAGCCTTTCTCCTTCTTCTTCTCAGCCTCCATCTTCTGCTGTGATGTTGGCACTTACAGATTGGTTTGGAGTAGAAGCTCACTGTCTAACATAGGTGATAGGTATTGGGAAGTAATTGTAAACATTGTATACATAGTTTTTAGTATAAAAAGATAACACCAAGGCAGGCAGAGTGCCTCTGACTGTCTTGCTGAGCAGACATCAGCTGGACAGGAGGAAGAATTTTATAGATAAGATACAATAAACAAACTTGAGACCAAGAAAGGAAGAGCCCTGACTCTTTCTTCAAGCGCCCTGCTGCGAAAAAAGCTTTTTAACTTTTCTCGGGGTCTCTCTGACCAGCTAGAGACCCCAACAGTAGCACTTGATGAAACTGCAGCAAGGCTGAACACATTTATGAAGATGTTCCATCAAACAGCAAAGGGTTACACACAGCAAACTCCACCAAACAAAGCCACAATTAAAGCTTGTCCTTCCTAGGGCTGTGGATGTCATCCCAAGTGGCGTCTTCCCAGTTATTTTCAAGTGAAGCATAGAGAGCTCGCTTCCCATGGGGGGAGGAGGACAGAGCTCCTTTGTGTGCAGAAAGCTGAGTGTTTGCCAAGGCCCAACAAACAGGGATGCTCTGTGTGTGTGTCCCCAGAACTGTCCAGCAAACCACAGCACTGAGAAGTGCTTATGCAAGGCAGGATGACACAAGATCCTGGGCTGGAGGCCTGGGAATCCTTCTCAGGTGTCAGATGAGGAAAGCTCTGCTTGTTTTTCTCTGTCAGGGCAAGGAACAGAAAAAGGAGCTTTGGGGCTGGACATTTGGAGGACTCAGCCATCCCAAGGGATATTGTGACACGTGGAGGGACCAAACTGCTGCTGCTGGTGCCAGGAAGCTCCGAATCCCAGGCTGCTGAGTGCATCCTCCCACCAGTGACTGGTCACATCCCCCCTGCTTGGTTCTGTCCCCTGCACGACCTGCAGGAAGGGACCCTCCCACTCACCTCTGCCTCCTTCCTCTTCCCCACAGAACTGCGACTCTGCTGGTGACTCCCAGGCATGCGGATCCTGCCCGTCCTTTGTGCTCTGCTCCTCCTGGTGCTCCAGGGAGTGACAGGTAAGAAATGTGGAGGGTTTGTCCTCTGTCGTGTTTTTTAGGGAGGATTTGTCACCGGAACTGATGAGTCAGGTGTCAGTTCTCCTGGTGGCTGTGCCATCCCTGCTGGAGACCCTCTGACCCCACATCTTTAAGGAAGGACTCCAGGTGCAGGTTGTGCTGTTGAGACCAGAGCTGGGGCATTGTATTAAAGCTCTCATCCTTCCAAACCTGGGATTTGACCCCTCTCCATGCCTCCTGACCCTTGCATTTATGAGTCAGCAGTACTGGGCACAGCAGCTCTGCTGGAGAGGAGAAGGGAGGAAGGGAAATCCTGCTTCTACCCTTGGAGTTCTTCCTTGCTCCAGGAAGAAGGCAGCAGGCACGATGGAGACCTCTCCCAGAGTCTGCTTAGGGGTGTAGTGACTGTCTCCCATCCAAATGCCACAAACTCACCTGGATTTGTGCTGCAGGCACCTGCTCAGCAGCTGTGGCAGGGGACAAGCAGGGCTGGGCTAACTCTGGCCACGCAGGGACCAGGGGCAGTGCTCAGCATCTCAGCTGAAAGTCTCCTTGTGACCGTGTTCACAGGGGTCTTAGGATGAGGGAAGAGATGCAGATCTGACTCCATGTTTCAGAAGGTTCAGAAGGCTTGATTTATTATTTTATGATATATATTATATTAAAACTATACTAAAAGAATAGAAGAAAGGATTTCATCAGAAGGCTGGCTAAGAATAGAAAAAGAAAGAATGAAAACAAAGGCTTGTGGCTTGGACACAGAGTCCGAGCCAGCTCACTGTGATTGGCCATTAATTAGAAACAACCACATGAGACCAATCACAGATGCACCAGTTGCATTCCACAGCAGCAGATAATCAATATTCACATTTTGCTCCTGAGGCCTCCCAGCTTCTCAGGAGGAAAAATCCTAAGGAAAAGATTTTTTATAAAAGATGGCTGTGACATCTCCTCTCTCCGTGCCCTGCAGGGCTGTCCCCAGTTGGAGCATCAGCCCAGGAGTGCGAGCGCCGCGGGGGATTCTGCTCCCATCACTCCTGCCCGCCAGGGATCGGCCGCATCGGCCTCTGCTCCGAGCGGGAATTCTGCTGTCGGATGTGAGTTCAGGGCTGCTGCTGCTGTCAGGGTTTGGGGTGAGGCTGTTGGGGAATAAAAAAGGGATTCTGCAGCCCGAGAGTACAGGGCACTGCTAAGCCTCGCTGCTGCCCTGGTGGGACAGGCACTGCCAGACCTTTCCATCCCACAGGCGCTGGTATCCCTGATGGGCTCCTGGATCCCCGAGCAGGACACCAGCCCGTCGGGATGATGCTGCCCGGAGGCACCAAGCACAGCCAGACCTGGATCCCATGGGAATCCCATCCCCCAGTGTCCCCAATACAAGGTGGTGGTCATTGCCACTGCCAAGATGTGTATCCTGGGTGTGCATCTCTTTCCTCTGTGTGTAGGGAAGGGCAGAGGGGATGGGGTGAATTTCTGACAGACATGGACACACAAACACTGTCCCACCATCCTCCCTCTCTCCTTGGTAGCCTCATCCACACCAGCATCTCCACACAGGGTGGGAGAGGGGACACAGGTGACACTCACAGGGACCCCAATGCCAGCCTTGTGGCTCAGCAAGGGGGCCCCAGCACCTCTCACAGAGGACAGAGGGGTGGCTGTGACCACCCTAATTTCAGAGGGGTCCTGTTGGTTGAACACCCAGCTCCCAGGCTGGGTCAGGAGTCCTTGTGGGGCTGTTCCATGGGACACACACTGGCCTGGTGTCCTTGGGTCCAGCCCCAGCTTTGGGGTACCAGGGGGTGTTGTGGGGTCCAGGTGTATCTGGGGAGTGGGAGAAGTCATTCTGCTCCAAAGGAAATAGGGACTGATGGCTGTGCCATGGGGCTTCTTAGGAGCTTGGAATTGAGTTGGGGGTCAGTGCTGGGAGGGTTTCAAGGCCTGGGGGCTCAGTTAGGAGCTCAGGTGGGTCATTGTGGATGGCTGGTGTGCAGATCCAGGATGCTCAGCTCATGGGGGCCATGGGGGTGGCCCCTGCACTGCCATGGGGCAGTGACCATGGGGATGCTGGGGACACCCAGTGGTCCCCTCCATGGAGCATGGCAGCCAGGGGTGGGAGCAGCCCCTCCTGGGGTATTGGGCATTGCTGTGGGGACAGAGAAGGTCAGATCAGGGTGCCAGCTGTGGGTCCAAGTCTGGGTCTGGATCAGCAAGGCCAAGCTGAAGCTCTGATGGGGTTGAGCACAAGATTCCCAGGTCAGAGCAGCTTCCCAAGGCAGGGCTGGCCCCAGCCATGGCCTCCCTGCAGTGGGGATTACAGAAGCCATTTCCACACCATAAGCAGCAATCCCTGGCTGTGCTGGCTCTGGGCTGGTCTTGAGTCTGGCTCCAAACCTCCAGGAGCAAAGATATTCCAAGGACTCAGCAATGGACTCCCAGTCCTACTTCTACAGATTGATGCTCAAGGAATGTCTCCATCCTGCATCAAGGCCAGGTTGGATGGGGCTTGGAGCATCCTGGGATAGTGGAAGGTGCCCCTGCCCATGGCAGAGGTTTCAATGAGATGAATTCTGAAGTTCCTTCCAACCCAAACCATTCCCTGATTCCATGCATCTCTCTGAGAGATGACACCAGCCCCTGTGTCCCTGATGTATCCAATCTCAATTTCCATTCTCCTCTCCAGGATCCAGCTCCAGGAGCTTTGGTGTCTCTGAGCAATGGACCAGCACCCTGGAGACACAGCACAGACTGTTTGTACAAAAAAAGTTACAAATAAAGTTCACTAGGAATGTAGGACAGGTAATAAGATGGATGTAGGACATGGCCAGGAAGCAGCCATGGATATATTGCCTCTTTCTCTCTCATGATCTTTCCTCCATGAGCACCTTGATCTTTATCTTTCTGAAATACCACAGAATTCCTATAAATCCAAAACCTCTCCTGATCAAGTCCACACCTCTAAGGCCTGATATGGCCCTATGCACCTTCCTTCACCAATTTCCCATAGATTGCCCATTTTTATACAGCATTTTGCTGTAGTTTTATATAGCATTTTGCTGCTAGTTGAACCACATTTGTAAATTTTGTAACAAGTAGGGCAGTTTCAGAAGCAGTGAGTGGATTCAGACAGAATGAGGTAAAGTGTGGTCTCCCCTGAGCAGATTTCCTCTTTGCACTGCTTGACTATTTGAATAGATATCAGAAAGGCATCCTCAGGCTTATCACTTCCTGGCAGGTGGAATGCAAGTCACCTTGGCAAGGATGAAGCTGTTCTTGTGATGCTAAAAAAGAAGGAAACCAACATTTTTTGAATGTTTTTGTGTGTCACACAGCACCAGCTCCCTAAGCAAACTGACAGGACAGGAAGAGACAGATATTTTATCAGAAAATCTCAGAATGGTTTGGGGAAAAAGGGGCTTATAAGGTTATCCAGTTCCAATCCCCACCATGATCAGGGACACCTTCCACTATCCCAGGTTGCTCCAAGCCCTGTCCAACCTGGCCTTGGACACTTCCAGGGATGAGGCAGCAACCTTTGGGCAACCTGTGCCAGGGCTTCACTACCCTCACAGGAGAGGGAAGTGAAGCCGCCCTGCCTACTTCTGCCTGCACCCACCAGCCTGTTTTGTCCATCCCAGGCAGTTCATGCCATGCCACCACAGCCCGGTGCCGCTGTGCCGCAGGTATCACAAGAGGTGTTGCATGGGGACAACTGTGCCATTGATTGCAACAGCCCCAGGAGGTCCCTCAGCCTCAGCTGTTGCATCAGAGAGGGAAAAGGAGAAGCCCCAGCATCCCCACATGGATGGGTGGCTTTCTGGTTGGCCGAGGGAAGATGTGTCAGCAAAAATCAGGGAATGTCCCCATGGCTTGCAACAATATAAAATCAGAGTGTTTTGGCCAAAAGAGTGCTCCTTGAACCCGAGGGCCACTGGACACAGCGATTCTTGTTGGGTTTGTGGCTGCCTGAGCACCCAGACCTTCATCAGGTAGGTGACTGTGGGGTCTCCTGGAAAAGGATCAGATGAGGTAATGGATTTCCCAGAGACTGAAACATCATTAAATGCTCCTGAGGTTGTCAGAGTGGCACAAACCTAAGAATTGTTTTTAAGAGGAAAGTAGAAGAAACATCATCCACTGTACCTAGAGACAGCACCTTTGCAGTTTGGTGAACCACAGAGCTCAGGCTCCTGCCCCACCTGGGGTCCTGCCTGTCCCCATTGCCTTGGTGTCCCCTCTGCAGCTCTGTGAAGACCCAGGAGGAGCAGCAGCCATGAAGATCCTGTTCCTGCTCTTCCCCCTGATCCTCCTGTTGGTGAGAGGGGGGGCTTCAGGTGAGAGGCAAAGTGGGGAGATGGGGAGAGGTGTGATCCTCCATTACTGGGGTTTTCCATGTCCTGGGAAGTGATCACTTTAGTGGGAGTGATGCAAAGGTAAGGGGAGATTGAGGAGAAAGGTGTTTCTCCAGTGATAGTTCTATAGGACACAGACTTGGGGTGGAAAGAGCCCATGGAAATAGAATATTTGTTTCTTTGGTGGGTTAGGAAGGAGTTTGGTTTCAGAATTCCACACCGAACCCACCTGTTCGTCTTTGGCTGTCTCTGAATGTTCTTCTGCCCTGTGTGTGATCTTTGCTGTGGGGAGGTTGGAGCTGAATCATCCACTGGCCAGAAATGCACAAACACCACCAGCTTTTTGCAACCACACACTGATCTTACAGATGACCGCTTTAACTGTTCTGTATGTTTCTTTCCCCATGGAAACCCAAAATGCAGCTGGATGCAGGAAAAGAGGGGGATTCTGCACTTATGGGAGATGCAACTTCCCTGCAAGACCCATTGGAAGATGCACACTGTATAGTGTGTGCTGCAAGAGATAAGGTCTGGAATCCTGCCTGAGCACAGAGTTCCCGCTTTTGTCCACAATGAAATATGTAGCAAATGTATTTCCTGTGAATGTCTGCTACATAATTGCTTTATCTATTCCTTGTGGGAGAGATGCCCATAAGGGACGGGAAAAGTCTTTTCTTTGGGGGTTTGGAGCTGTCCTGAGAGTAGAGTTGCAGCAGCCCCAGATCAGCCAGGGCCTCCCCACTCACCAAAGCCACCAAGGACTGAAATATTCTCTGTCCTTGGGCAGCACTGAGGACATGATCCAGGTGTGGTGGCATCTGCACAGCCCTGGAGCCAGGGCTGCCAGCACTGAGATAGCCCAGGCCCAACCTGGCTGCACTAAGGACTCCACCTCACCTGCCCTGAGCCTGACTCTGCTGCACCTCACCCTGGGCATTGCAGGGCAGGGGAGACAGTGGCAGGGAAAGGTACACCAGCTGATGTGCTTGTCTCTTTTCTTCTTACAGTGTCTGGGGCTGAGACCCTGAAATCCCCAAGCAGGACATGGCCCTCGCTTCTGGCTGATGTCCCCACATGCTGATGTCCCCATGTGCTGATGTCCCCATGTGCTGATGTCCCCTGGCCTCGGTGGCTGTGCCGTGCCCAGCTGGGCTGGCAGCAGCAGTGGCAGCTGCTCCTGCTGGCTGCTGCTGGGCTGGAGCCCTGTGGTGCCAGCCCCGGTGTCTTTGGGGCAGGGGCTGCTTTTCCCGCCTTGAATAAAGACGAGCACTTTGGCATTGCAGGGCTGGGCCGTGTCTGTGTGTCCTGCTGCTGCTGCAGGGCTGCTGTGCCTGCTGGCCCTGGGGCTGCCACTGCCTTGGTGGCAGCAGAAGGCCCTGGGCATGGAGCTGGGGCTGAGCAGCACCTGTGTCCCTGGGGATGCTCCTGCCTGGCCGTGCTTTGGGGATGCTGAGCCTGGCACTGCCTGCTGGGCCAGCCTGGCTGGGCTGCCTGTGCTAGGCCTGCCCTGCAGATGCTCCCTCTAGGGAGCAGGATCCTTATCTTGATCCTGCTGATTATGGGTGTCCCTTGTCCCTGGCAGCCTCAGCTCCATGTGCAGAGCTGTGCTGGGGGCTGTGTCCCTTCAGTGGCCATGGCCTTGGTCTTCCACAGGAGCTGTCCCTGCTGCTCATCCTTGTCCTGTTCATGTGACACAGCCTTCCCTGCTGTGGCTGTGCTGCTCCACACCCCATGCCACCAGGCAGGAGGAGGAGGACGAGGTCATGTAGCTCCCGTAGCTCATGGGTTAGGGTGACCTGTGAAATTGCTCCAAATTGAGCATGGCCAGAAAATGTCCAAAATTTTACACACAGGTAATAAGTGTGTTGTCTTTTCTCTGCTCATCTCAGGCAGTCTAGGGTGACAACACTGCTCCATCAAAAGCAGTGACTCGTCGATGTCTGCAAAGCAAACCTCAGGCATTAGGATTTGATTGGCTCAATATCTGTGTGTGTCCATGCCCACATGCCCAGGGAGCATCTTATGTCCCTGCCTGTTGCAGTGAAGACTTTCCTTTTCAAGAGTTCAAGAGTCATAGACTCAGAGAATTTATTACCAAAGTTTGTATTATAATGTTTTTGATGAAATGTAATGTATTATAATGGGTTATTTTATTACTAATGTTTGGAAAGCCCTTTGAGATCATTGGGTCCCACTGTTCCCCCAGCACTAACACATGTCCCCAAGGGCCACATCTAATAGGCTGTGAAATTCTATCAGCGATGGTTACTCCTTCAGTGCCCTGGGCAGCCTGATCCAATGTTTGACCTCACTTTCTTCCAAGAAATTGTTCCTAATATCCAGTCTAAACTTTCCCTAGTGCTAATTGAGCCATTTCCCCTGGTGGTCACAATTATGACTTTAGAGAAGACAGTAAGCCCCCAAAGGCTTCCGCTGCCATTGCTTTCCAGAAGTGGACATTTTGGTGAGGGATGTTCAGATCATCCTTGCCTGCCATGGCCCTTCCTCCCCTGTGCTCACCTCTCCTGGCACTGACCCTGCAGCTGTCACCACAAGCTCCCCTCACCCCTGCAGTGCAGATCTTTTCCAGCCCATGCCAGCCCGGTGCCACTGTGCTGCGGGTGTCACAAGAGGTGTTGCATGGGGACAACGGTGCCATTGATTGCAACAGCCCCAGGAGGTCCCTCAGCCTC